CAATCAACCCTATTGCCAGGCCCATTCTTCTTTTTTACCTTGGGCTTTTAACCTAATTCTAAATTTCGTACGTAACAATATCACACTTTGGAAGAAGTGGCATGAGTCCATCCCCCATCTCTGTCAAGTACCACTGCATTTATTTTTTATGTGCTTATAACATCCTCCTCACATCAAACTCATCATGCTTATCCATTGACATGGGAAAGTTAATTTATTGCATTGATAAGTATGTTGACACTATGAACTTTGGTCTTGTCATTTTAACCAAAATGAATGAGCTCTCTGAAAAGCATATTCTTAAGCGTGTCAGGCTGCCTTATCCTGCTCTCATCACTACCCTTCTTGCTTAGAATGGGGTTCTTTCCGAGAAAAATGAAGACATGGTGCAAGTTTATTCACATAGTCCATGCAATCTCTCCAATCTTCACAACGATTTCAAAAATGGACCAGTACTTTCACGAGAAGCTCTAGTTCACTTTCTGCAAGAAAAAATCCTGTGATTACAATGTGAGGCTCATGAACACAATGAATTTATGTTGAGCTTTAAGAAGGAATTGGGTCAAATTTATCGAATGCTGCTTGGATCCCGGCGTCTGCCCCTGCTGAGGATAACACTGCTGAGGGTAATACCACATCATCTAGCTCTGGCGGTGCTTGACATTGCCCTTCTTTCGTTGATGTCTCCCAAGAGGGAGAGACAGAGGAAGAAGAAAGAAACAGAGGAAGGAGGATCAAAAGTCGATGGGGGAAGCCTAAATGATGGTAACTCTATCTCTCTCATTTTGATGAATTACAAACTCGTGGTTTGATCTTTTGTGAACTGCTGGATTACTACCCTTGTGTTTTTACTTGAACTATTAATGCTATTTTGTCTTATGTTACATAAATTGAGGGGGAGACCTCACTTTTGATGGATTCCATCTAGTTTTTCTTGGCATATAATAGATTGATATATTGATGATTAACGTTTGGCCTATAATAGTTAGGCTTAACTATTTGGATTTGTTGTTGCTGGTCCATGGGGATTATTCAACATCTTATTCCTCTCGATGTGGGATACATCAACCAAAAAAAAGGAGAGATTATTGGTATAAGATTTTTGTTTGTTTGTATCATGAATCCGCAGCCAGATCAGACGACACGTCAACTGCTTGCAAGTCTGCAGCTACTTGTAGGACTGCAACATGACTCAGGTTCTTTCTTCAAATGTGTTGGACATTGCAAACATAAAAAGAGGGTCAAGATGGGACAAAGTTTGTATCTCAGACACACTGCAACAAAAGACAAAATGAGATTTTCTCTAAGAGTTGCATGCAAATGGAAGTCAAAGAAAGAAGGAGAATAAAGTCCCTCACCTCCATTCCTAAAAAGGTATTATTGACTTTCATCTATTCCTAGGTCATTAATAAGGAATTGGACATGTCATTTCATGCCCTGCCCTAATATATCTCTTAAGGACATGTCCAAATATTTTTTGACATTTTCTAAGCATGTTGTGTCGATATTTGATTGACCAAAGGGACACTTCTTTATACTATATATACATGCTTTCTAGGAATGTTTAATTCAAGCTTTTCATCACTTACTTGAGAGAAAATCATATCATTTTCGTGAGCATTATGAGAGGTGAGAATATAGAATCTTAAGAGTTCATCTTACCTTGTGAAAAACTGAAATCCCATGTTAGATTATATTGAGTTTCACTTCTAGTTTAGGGGGAGTGTTCTCATATCTTTTAAGGGATTTTCTTGAAAGGTTAGACCATGTCTTGAGTAGAAAAATCAGGGAGGATTTTTTATCTATTCTGTTTGGTCTGAACCTTGTCGAAGCTGTTGTAAACGTTAAGCCAGAATGATATCCTGAGCAGATTTCTGTTGTCTGTTGTATCGAAAAACTGCCGAAGAGTTTGTTTTGAAAAAGAGAGTTCCAAGGAGAGCTAAAGGAGAAAGAAATGACAAGCCACCTATACTTTCGTCCCACCTCATAACACATTCAATGGAGGCTGAGTCACTGCATGCTTGCCTTTGTGAAGAAAGATGCATATGTATGTGGTAGGAAAACTCATACATTAGATTGTGTGTGTTGTTGGAGTTTTGTGGAGTTTGTGTGAGGAATCTTTGTATCTTGTTTTTGTCTTTCTTATAGTGGAACGTCCCTGGGTTGGTACCCCAGACGTAGGTCAGTTGAGGGTCGAGCTGAGTCAACAAACGCTTGTGTGTTGTTTGCCTTGATGCACTCTGTATTGCACTTCTTGTGGTCTGGTTGTTGTTCGAAAGTTTCCAAACCTTTTGAGTTTGCATACCATTCTATTGCATCATTCAAGAGTGATCATAATTGAAATTTAAGGTGTAGAAATACATCTTTTGAGACCGTCAAAGTTCAGCCGAGGGTTTATCCAAAATGTACTCGAAGAGTTACGACAACAAATTCTCACATTATAAAAAATAATTAAGTTCAATTAAAAATTTATGCAAAGCATACTCGAAAAAATAGTAAACATAAATATGATCAAATATTCTCACATTATAAATAATAATAATAATAATAATAATAATAATAATAATAAAAGAATTAGTTAAATATGATCAAATATTAAAGTAATTGATTATTGTTAAAACATAAATATGATCAAATATTCTTACATTATAAATAATAATAATAATAATAATAATAATAATAATAAAAGAATTAGTTAAATATGATCAAATATTAAAGTAATTGATTATTGTTACTATTATTATTTATCATTAATAGACAATGAAAGGAGGCCAGCCGCCACGACAAAGCAATATTTGTCCCGATCCGCACCCATATGCAATGTTGATGGAAGAATAAAATATTGATTGCATTATAAATGTGCGGGGTAGTCATATAAATTAATAAATCCTTCATACATATTAATTTAAATAAATAAAACATATATGGACAATGTATATATATATATATATATATGTATTAACATGCTCGTATTATCAATTTAAGTAACTATTTATCTCATTATCCAATTAAGGCGAGTGTACGCATATATATATATATATATAATATTACTTTGCAACTTTCGTTATAGCTATTTTAGTAATTTAAAATTGTTTAGAAATTATTATATAGCCAAAATATTAGTATTGAAATAAATTCGATAGTTATGTCAGAGTTAAGGTAGAACTTCTTTCCAGAAAACAAATGTGTACGGTAGTGCCTCTCGTTTACATTTCTAACAATAAAACGATGTTCGTTTTTGAATTAGATTACACTTAATATTTCAAAGTTTTAACGAATTAAAATGATAAAATTCACATTGTATCGGAAAGCTAAAATTAGGAAAGTTATGGGAAAAAATAAACGAAGAATTATTGAAAAAAAAGGGATTAAACTAAAGAAGAGAAAGATTGGCTTGAGGTGTTGGTGTATTTCGAGTATAGACACTTCCATCTGCAGGGCAATCAATGCCCAAGCCGAAACTATCATAACTTTCGGCCATAGATTTAATTTCAATATTTCAACAATAAACATCATATTTAATTTTAGTCATAAATACGAGATTGAATTTTTGAATTTTAAATGCATGCATTGATTTTTCTTGACTAAAAATATTTATTTTTTTGAACCGAACACAATGACATTTGACTCGAGTCCATATCATAATTTCCGTGTCCAGTTCGAACGGATAGCGCTTATGGCTCACCTACATGCCATAACTTAGCCAACCTTTATATCCTACTAATGAAATTTAAACACAACTTATATGTGTTACAATTTTCAGTGTGAGATAAACAATTAATTTATCCGTCATTTAAATTTTTGTTCACTTTTTCCTTTTAAATTGTCATAAAAAATACTCGTTTTATTTTTAGGTAAAAATACTTTTGTATATTTTTTTATTATAAAAAAATTATTATTATTATTTATTTTTATTAAAATTCGTGTTCGATCAAACGAAGCGTATATTTGCATGAAAGAAAGAATAAATTAATTAGTAATTGTCTTTTAAACATTCAATGATAATACTCATCTCAAATCCAAATAATATGCTTTTAATCCAATTAATTTAGTCTATCGACTTGTTACATTTTAACTCATGATTAATCAATTTTAAAAATTATAAATTTAATTTGAAATTAAATTTTATAGTTCTAATAAAATAAACCTAAAGTAATATATTTTTATATAAAATTATAAAATTTATATATAAAAAAAAAAAATAAATATCGTTTATTTGACTGTAATTAAAAATTAAAATTAAAATTTTAATTTAAATAGTATGTTTATATAATATTTTATTAAAGATAATAGCATATCTTTATTACAATCTTATATCTAGATGGATAGTGATAATTTGCATTTGAAATGTAAAGCAAATACTACATCCCTACCCGATTCATTAATTATTACTAGTACTTAAGTTCTATAATTTTACTTGTTTTACACGTGTGGTATTCTGTATAATTTTTTTTACTCCCTCCGTCCCAAATATCATGTTTACGTTGCCGTTTTTATCCGTCTCACATACCATGTCACTTTCCTTATTGAAAAATGATTACACATTTTAATCTCATTTTAAATTTTAATTTTTTGTTTTTAATTTTAATTAAACTAATTAGTTATTTTAATCTTAATTTATAATTATTTATATTATAGAATAATTATTTTCACTAATACATTCTTAATTATCTACTAATTACACCCCTTCTAAAATACCGTGTCCACGGTGTAGGACGGAATGAGTATTATTTTATTTTTAATGTGTGTCTGTTTGGGGGATTGGTGCGTTTGTTTGGCGAATTTGTAAGAATTTACACAGTATATTATATAAAAAAAATTAATTTTATATTAACAATATCAAATTTAATATTTATTTATATTATATTGTATAATTATTTTAAATTCAAAATTTTTAATATTCAAAATTTGACGTCAAAATTCAAATACCGGAAGAAACAGACTCTTCAAATGTCGAAGAAACAGACCTTAGTTTTCATTTATAATAAGGGATTTAAAATAATACTAGCAGATACGCAATCATTTACGAATTGGAAAGTCATAAATGCCTAAAATGTTTCGCATCTTCTTTCCTAAATACAATACAGTGGCTCGTGCCCACCTTCCCGGATTAGGCCGATAACAGCGAAGGAATTCCGTGAGAAGGTTCCAGAGAAGAGAATGGAGGAGAGCACCACCAATGTAGCGCCGAAGTTTTTGGAGCCATGGCACCGTCTGGAGGACAAGGTCGTGATGGTGACGGGCGCCTCCTCCGGATTAGGTCGAGAGTTCTGTTTGGACTTATCTAAAGCCGGCTGCAGAGTCATAGCAGCGGCGCGGAGGACGGACAAACTGCGCTCGCTATGCGACGAGATAAACAGCGGCGCCGTCGATCGAGGAGAAGGAGATCGGCCTAGAGCTGTGGCCGTCGAACTCGACTTGAGCGCTAACGGAGCGGCGATTGAGGCTTCTGTACGGAAGGCTTGGGAAGCGTTCGGCAGAATTGATGCTTTGATTAATAACGCTGGTGTTAGAGGTAAAAGTGGAAATGTGAAAAAAATGGGGAAATTACTTTCCGTACGTATTGGAATATCATTTGTTAGGTCTTCTTAACGTGATTTAGGTATACGAAAATTTTTCACTATTTCGTAGTAATGTTTTGGTCTGAGATTTTTGCTTTTATGTTCAATTGCCAGTAAATTTAAACTTCATGTGCATGGAAGACTTGGTTGGGAGATTTACTGCTGCTAGATTGATTATTTTATTATTTAGTGCTTCGTTAAACGCAATTCCATTGCTAATGAATTGGTTTGTGGTATTCCTGTCTGAAGAAAGTATTTCCATCCACAAAGTTGGCATCTGTGCTATTAATGGAGAAGAAACAACGGGAGTAGTCAATTTCTTTGTGAGATGAACCTGTCCTTTTCTAGTGTGTCATTTTTCATTCTCACAACAGTGTCCAATTTCACGTGTTTCTGTGCTTGTAATAAAGTTTGTAGTTGAAAGTTTTGTCAGCTTTATTTTCATTCCATGTCTTGGGTGAATCCTGTCGGTATCACAAACCTAATCTGATTTGGTCTTTCATTGGTTTGTTAGGTATGAAAAAGATGACTAGAAAATTGGAATTTTATGTTATGTAAATAGATGTTGGTTTTATGTTATCTAATCTTTTTAATAAAATAAAAAAAGGTGTTCTTGGCTATACTATTTTTTATTAGAAAAGTTATGATGAAGATTACAAATATCTAAATAATTTCTTGATTGTGTTTAAAATAGTTGTAGCTTGTGGATTGCAAGAACTTACTGCAAATGATTGATGAAGTCAATTATTTGGTTGGCTAGACTTGTACGCTATAACAGTTGCATTCTTGCAAACATAGAGGATGACTTTCTGACTATCTTTAGGAGCAGTCTTTTTGTGGATTTAACAACCATGTTATGCCCATGCGATCGGGTTTATCTGCAGGTCGAGTTCATACTCCATGGGACTTGTCCGAGAAAGAATGGGATGAAATAGTGGGGACGAATATGACTGGCACTTGGTTGGTTTCCAAGTATGTTTGTATGCGTATGCGTGAGGCTCAGCGAGGTGGGTCTATCATCAATATCTCTTCCATTGCTAGTGTCGAGCGTGGATTATTACCCGGAGGCCTTGCTTATGTGAGTAGCAAGGGTTCTGTCAACTCAATCACAAAGGTATTGCTATATGATTTGCTTTTTCTAAGTCTATGGTATGTTTGATCAGCCAATTTCTATTTGATTACCAATCTTGAAGGGGCCATACTGCTACTTTTTCTTTTTTAATTTGATTCCCTCTTATTCTTATGGTTGTGGGTGCAAGTTCTAGTTAGTGGTACATTTCTTGTCTCAACTTGATTGAAAAAGACTGAATACCTTTATATTGCCATCTAACATTCTTGCTTGCATTGGATCTTTTGATGGAGTCAAATCTTCTTGTCGTGCGGGAATTAAATATGAATAAGATAAAATGAAGCATTTTCTAGCTAGTTTTAAGTCGATATAGACATTTTAAATTGAATTAAGATGCAGAGGGCACATGCTCAGATTAGATCTCTGCTGTTGCTCATTCATGAAGCTGTGAGAGGGAAAGGGTGGAGGAATTAAATATCAGTATGGACTAATGTATCTTCCTATTAGCTTAAACAATCGAGCATTCATATTTATGGCACACAAAAACTAGTTTATGTCACACATACAGAAGGATCTTTCCTGAATTTCTCAAATCGCGTTGCTGAGTGTCGAAATGTATTGCCACAGGCATTTAATAACAAAGCCATGCTTTCCATAGAGTTGCTTATAATCTGTAATTATTAATGATTCTTTGTTTTATGCAATTTCCAGGTTATGGCCCTGGAATTAGGACCCAACAAAATTCGAGTTAATTCCATTGCACCAGGGCTTTTCAAATCTGAGATAACCAAAGGTTTAGTGGAGAAAGAGTGGCTGAAAAATGTCGAACGCAGAACAGTGCCGTTGAGAGTTTTCGGGAAAATAGATCCTGCATTGACATCCCTCCTTAGGTACTTGATTCACGACTCTTCCGTGTATGTCACCGGCAACATCTTTATTGTCGACTCCGGAAACACCTTGCCAGGTACGCCTATATTTTCATCTCTTTAAATTTCCAGGAATGGATGGTTTCTGGTAATACAGAGTGATAAGCTTTTTGGAGCAATGAATGGAATGTCAAACTTATTTGGTATATTGAATGATAATTCATACGTAAATAAGATTTTGGGATGATTATTTAGCTGTTGTCTTTATTTGATGATTTGCTGGCTATGGTTTAAAAAATACTTTAGGATTATATGCATTTTTAGTGTTGCAGTAAATATTATTTGAACATATGTTTAGAAAGAGTTCCAATTAGCTTTCTAATACTGTGCCAATTAATGATATATATATATATATATATATGCATGCATAGGTTGTTGTGTTATTTTAGTATTTAGTTTTGGTAGAATTTTTGTTATTAATTATGGAGAATTACAAAATATTTTGAGAAATTGTAATATGGTTAATGTAAAATAATTTTTATTATCTTTTAAATATTTGTAAATTAGAAAAGATGGATATAAATTAGAAAAGATGGATAATTTTTTAAATTATTATTGAAAATAATGACAATATACCGGTTAAAATATAAACAAAATATAATAGTTGAAATGACGCATCATTTTCGGATTAAGTGGCACCCCCAAAATAAAATAGTATAACTATTATACATTAAAACTATATTAGGTAGCTAAGGAAGTTACTGGAATATTAACCGATTCGCCGAAAAAATATTACGGGAAAAATGAGAAAAAAATGGAGAGGATGAGAGGTTAATGTGTGATTGAAACGAGGGTGAAGAGATGATGTCTTATAGATACCTTTAATATTTGATAGCTTTTCATCATAAATATCATAATTAATTTTATTTATAATAAATTTATTTATATTTAATAAAATTTTATTATTTAATTGTCTTATATAAATATAAGTATAATAATAATAATAATAATAGCAATAATAATAATAAGAAGAAGAAGAATATTGACTAAGAATATATTAATTAATTTGTAATGCATTAATTATAAATAGTTAGAATAAATATTTTTATTCTAAAATTAAAAGAAAAAAGAAAAAAGAAAAATGATATGTATTAATTATGGATATAGTTATAACTAATTTACGGGGATGATTAGGTGATGATTTTTTATTTATTTTTTTAAATCAGCGCCATGCTGATTTTTCAATTTAGCACACATTTTACGTACAAACAATACACATTATTATTGCATACAAGCATACACTGTTTTTCATAATAAACTGTTGTATGTGCTTTATCATACTATAACTTGAGCCGTTAGTTGTATATTAATTAGTATACAATATAATATAACTTGTATGTAATAATACTATATGTTGTCACACAACACACGTTGTGCCGTTGAAAATATAATATGTGTTTTATGTAGTAATATCATGGGCTGTCAAAGCACGGTGTTGAATTTAGCATTGTAGCCACCGGTTTAATTTACATGTTTAAAAAAGAATTATTATTTTTTTAATTAGTTATAAAATTAATAAAAATTTTAAAATTATTAATTATGAATATAATTAACATTAATTATATATTTTAATTAGAATTAAAAATATATTAAATTAGTTTTAAAATTATTAAAAATTTTAAAAATAATAGTAATTTATTTTTAATTTCATTAATTAATATTATAATTTACTTTAATTATAAAATTAAATCAAATATTTTATTATCTTAAAAATGTATTAATTATAATATACTTAATAATATTTAATCATATTTATTTTATTAAAAAAATTATGACAAAAAATTTGGTCAAATGAATTCCACATCTATATTATATATATATATATACAATTATAGTTTAATAAAATATTATTTTACATATTATCGCACTCTGGACCACAAATCCTTTGAATCCGAAAACCCAAACAAACTTGCACAAAAGAAATATATAAATTTACACTCATCTTAAAATTTAAATCAAATCCAAACCTAAACTCAATTTATCAAAATCCTCCCTAAAAAGCACACCCAAAGTATAATTTCATAATTAACTTGAAAAAATAAAAAAATGTTTATGTATATATATAACACAATATTATAATTGTGTTAAATTAAAAAATATTTTAATTATAAATTATTATAATTTTCAAAGATAACTTAGGGTGTGTTTCTTTAGGGAGTTTTAGAAAATTTTGGGTTTGAGTTTGATTTTTATTTGATTTTTTAGGTGGATTTGAATTTATGTATTTTTTGTGTGTTAAAGTTAGGGTTGAGTTTGGAGAGTTTTGATGTTTATTGATTTGATGGTAATGAATATAATAATATAAATGTGTATTAATTTATATAATTTTGTTATTAATTTATATTCTATCTATATATATATATTTAAATTTTTATTTATTTATATTATGAAAAATTTTATTCTCAAAAAAATGACATATATATTGTATATATTTTATTAAATTATAATTATTATAAAAATTTAAATTTATATTTATAATTTAAATTTAAAATTATTAAAATATTTATTACAAATATATAATTTGATAATTGTTTGAAAAAATTAAAAATATGTTAATATTAGATTAAAATATTTAATAAATTTCAATATAATATAAGTTAGAAGAGACAAATTGAAGTCTTTCTAACTTCTTTTTTTTTTTTTTTTTTTTTTTGAATGGTGTGGAAATTCGCAGTCGCTAAATTCCCGGCCGAACCTAATAGGCGAATTGGTCACACGTTCAATCCTACACCGTCAGACCATTCCTTACTGAACGAAGTCTTTCTAACTTTGATATATGTAGACAATGTAACGACATTATCAAGACCTGAAATTTGATATCAAACAAATAATTTTTGAACAATGCAAAATATTGACTATGAAGACTGTTTGCATGGGTAAGAATTATTAATGAGAGGTAAAAGGAGTTCAATCCTATTATAAAAAGTATTTTTTATTCATGCTTCTAAAAAAAACTATTTATTTATATTTATATTAATTTCTTCTCAAAAAGTAGAAGCAGCTTTTGAATTCTAAAAATAATTTTTTTAAAGCATTTTATGGGGTGTTTTGGAGAAAGTAGAAACAAATTTTTAGGCTCCAAAAATGTTGTTTTTAGAAACACTTTAGAAGGTATTTTTGGGAAAAGTAAAAACAGTTTTACTGTTTAAATCACAATTTTATCCATAATAACAATTTAAATATAATTGTATTCTAATTATAAATTTATATACTTTATTTTAATTATATTAAAAATATATAATTGAAATATCAAATTTTAAAAATATATATTTTAATTATATAGTAGATAATTTAGTATTTTTAAATATAATTTATAAAGTTAAAATAATCTGTAAAGTAAAATTTATTTAAATTTAATTATAGTTTTAATTTTCATTTTTATAAAAAAAAATTTAAAAAATACAAATATAATTTATACATAAAATTTATTATATATTTTTTCAATTAGTTTAACTAATTTTAAATTTTTATATATAATTTATAAAATTCTAAATAGATTGGAAAATTTTAATAAAAAATATATTTACATTATTATGTCTCATTTGTTAATTTTAACTGTTTAATTTCAATTTTATTATATTCAAATTATTATCATTATTTTTTTATAAAAGACTGTTTTTATAATTATTCATCTAAATATAAAATCTGTTTTTTTTTTTTTTTTTAAATCAATTCAAAATAATCCTAAAAGACAAAATTAAAAGTAAATTAATAATTATTCAATAATTTACTTAAATTTTTTTGGCAGGTGATCTGAAGCGTCGAGTTTGAACCCATAGATCTTACGGTCATAAATCAAACCCTAAATCATCATATCATCTTTTACGGAACGAAGACTCTATTTTTTTTATAACATTTTTAGGAGAAAGCCTCAAATTTCTAGAAAGCTAAAGAAAGCAGTGATAAATAAATTTTCTGTGTGTTTGTTTGAGGGATTGGATTTTCAATCCACTGTTCATCCAATTTTTTTCTCCCAAAACATCAAATTAAAACCTATTTTTTATTTTTTATATTATACTAAAAAAAAATTTACATTCAAAATATCACATCAAACACCTATTTATATCACATCATACAACTATTCAAATTAAAAAAATTTACTATTCAAATCCCAACTCAAAATCCAAAGCCCCAAACAAACACAACCTTTATTTGTTCCACACAACCTAAGGAAAATATATAATAATAATAATACTCCCTCCGTCCCATAACAAAGTATCCATTTTTTTATTTTAATTCGTTCCATAACAAAGTATCTATTTCTTTTTTTTTTGGTAACTGTACTATCTACATAATATTACAAATACTCTTACAACTTACAATATATTACACAAATATCATTACCTTCGTATCACACATACTAATAAAATTATTTTAGTTATTGCTACTTTATTCGTACTTAAATCCTAATATAATATTAATATTTTTAAAATTACTTGAAAAAGCAAATAGATATTTATGGGAGTAATAATAATAATAAAAGGCACTCCATCCAGGATGGAGGATCAGCAAGTAGACAAACAGAATATTAGTTTCGCACATGACTAACATGGCGTAAACTAATATCATCATGTCAGCACATTAATAACATTAATTACAACGCATTAATACCAGTCAATATCCAATATTTTTTTAGAAAAAATAATTATATATTTAAATCATATTTTATATGTTTATCATTCACTATATCATTTAAATAAATATATATATATTTTTCTTTTATTATATTTTTTAATTTTTAGATTATTCTATTCAATACTACCTAAATTTTTGTTCCAATAACAAATGTTGCCACATACCTCCGCCAACATGTTGATATTTTATTCAACTATTTACACAGTTCGTTTGATTCGATACTATAGAAAAATAAAAAAAATCATGTCAGCTCATATCTTCTTTCCTAGAAAGAGTCGGGAGTCGGGACGTGCCAAGATCTCTCTCGGAGTAGGTTCCAGAAAATGGGGGAGAGGGAGGCGAAGTTTCTGGAGCCATGGCACCGTCTGGAGGACAAGGTAGTGTTGGTGACTGGCGCCTCCTCCGGAATAGGCCGAGAGTTCTGTTTAGACTTGTCTAAAGCCGGCTGCAGAGTCATAGCGGCGGCGCGGAGGACGGACAAGCTGCAATCGCTATGCGACGAGATAAACAGTGGCGCCGTCGTAGATCGGCGTAGAGCTGTGGCCGTCGAACTCGACGTGAGCTCCAATGGTGCGGCGATTGAGGCTTCTGTACGGAAGGCTTGGGACGCGTTCGGCAGAATCGATGCTTTGATTAATAACGCTGGTGTTAGAGGTAAGAGTGAAGAAGACTTTGGGAATCGTGAAAATGTGAAGAAATTATTTTCTCTACCTATTGGAAAATCATTTGTTTGTTGGATATCCGAATATTTCACAATTTCATTGCAATATTTTGGTCTGAGGTTTTTGTTTTTATGTTCAATTTCCAGTAGATTTCCTTTGGGAGATTTGTTGTTGATAGATTGATTATTTATGTGCTTTGCTTAAACGTAATTCCTTTCCTGATGAATTGTTTTGTAGTAGTCCTCCTGTCTACAGAAATTATTTCCATCTACAAAGTCAACATCTGTAATTTTGATGGAGAAGGAGCAAGGGAGTAATCAATTTCTCTGTGACATGAACTTGTCTTTTTCCAGTCTCATTCTCCATTATCACTACAGTGTCTAATTTCTCGTGTTTCAACTTTCAATGAGCCTAATATATACTGCCATTTTCAAAGTCGCAATTTGGAATTTTGTAGTAGCTTAAGAAATAATAGTACATTGTGTAAGAAATTTTGGCATTTTTGCGCTTTAGACTTTATGCAATTATATGTGTAATGATATGTTAGTAACTTAAATAAAAGTTGAAGGTATTTTGATATTAATGTAAGATTATTTTTACTAAAGATAGAAAGAAAGTGAAACGAAAGAAAATAGTAAAAATAGTATTTTGAATTAGGACGGAGAGAATATGCAGAAATTTTTCAGCTTTCTTTCCATTCCATGCTTATTTTGGTGTTTCGGATTGTTTTGGTAAGTGTAAAAAATTGATGTTATGTAAATAAGTGTTAGTTTCATGCTACGAACATTTTTTTCGTTTTTTTAATGGGAGATAGAAGTTGTGTATGATGTTTTTCAAAGAAAATTTTAATTGAATAAGGCAAAAACAAAGTTTCATAGCCATTAGATAGAATTGATAGTAGATTCTTTTTTCTTACTATGTTTTTCAAATAGTGGTAGCTTGTGGATTGGGAGAACTTGCACTACTACAAATGACTTGAAAATCAATGATTTAATTAAGGAGAGTTGTTTACCAGAATGTTTACATTCTTGCAAACATACAAGATGATTTGCTGTTTATCATCTATTACACTCACTTTTCTTGTTACCATTAAGAATTAGTTATCTTTCTCGTTACTTTTACTAAGAAATACAATTATTACGTATTTGTTACATTTCTTAAGAATTATTTACTTTCAACAAAAATAAAAATAAAAAGTAAATAAATATTATTCAATTTTTTTTTTTAAAGGTTATTACTGTAAGAGTGAAAGAAACTAATTTGAAACTAATTTGAATGTTGAGATGAATATGACATGAATGAAAGAGATAATGAAGCTGCAATGGATGCTCCGAGCAACAATGGTTTTGGATTTAACAACCATGTTATATATGGTCGTGTGATTGGGGTTATATATCTGCAGGTTCGTTGCACACTCCATGGGATCTGTCGGAGAAAGAGTGGGATGAAATAGTGGGGACGAATACGACTGGTACTTGGTTGGTTTCAAAGTATGTATGTATGCATATGCGTGAAGCTAAGCGGGGTGGATCTATCATCAATATCTCTTCCATGTCTGCTGTCGAGCGTGGATTTCCAGTCGGAGGCCTTGCTTATGTGAGTAGCAAGGGTTCTGTTAACTCAATGACAAAGGTAGTGCTATATTATTTGCTTTCTCAAGTTTATTGTATGTTTCATCTGCCAATATCTATTTGATTATGAATCTTGATGAGCATGTATGCTTGACTGAGAGTTTGAAAGAGAGAAACCGAAAGAAATGGCCAAATTGTGGAAGCTACTGAAACCTTTTGGAACATTCTGCTTGTACTCTTGAGTTCTTTATCGTGTTCGTGCTAGCGTAGCAAGGCTGAACTAGTTAGTTTTTTGAAAGCTTTGAGAAGATGTTCAAGGAGGAACAATCGACCAGTTACAAGTTATATGAAAGCGAAGTTTGACGAGAATTTTAAACAACGTTGATAGTATGAATGCTTCTTAGTTTGAGAACCAAACGAGGGGTTGGAGGAATACGAGGGACAAGTGTCTCGATCTCACGGGATCCTTTGACAACAAGTTATAGAGCTGATCGTGGGTGACCACGTTAAAGACAGAGATTCGGGGTTTCAACTTAGAATCAATTGGTCGTAAGTGGAGTAGCCCTTCACTCTTATAAGGAAGGGGAATCCAAACATCATATCCAATGTGGGATACTCTCGAAAATTCATACAAAATCAATACCTAATACGGGCACCGTGACTTTGATACCATGTTCAGACGAGGATCCGAGGTTCCAACTTAAAACCACTTGGTTTTAAGTGGAGTAGCCTTTCATTCCTTATAAAGTAGAGGAATCTCAACATCATATCCAATGTGAGATACTCAACAGACCATCATGACAAATTTGATGAGGTTGAACAATTTATCTGCCAGCTTGAGGGAAACAAGTTGTGAGAAGAAATACTATCATCGGTCGATTTCATAATGGATGAAACTCAGAAGCAAGATCGAGCAACACATGAGCTTGTGGAGGCATTGAGAGCTAAGATTGTCATAGTCAAAAGAGTTGTTTATAGCTTGTTAGCCAAGTGTAAGGTCAAATTTTGAGAATGGAGAACGTTAAGGTTGTAGAGCCTTCAAATGTAAGAAAGAACGGACTGTGATGAGAGAAGCGTTAGCCAAGTGGAGGCTGAGGAGGCCGACTGAAACTACCTTGGCTGCCCAAGAGGAAACATCACATGTCGAGAGAGCTGTGAGTTCTATGTGAGCTTGTTGAAGTTGTACCTTATCGATATCTATAACTTGTGTCTAAATGTGTCAATGAGAGTCTCACCAAGTGTATATATAACATGCGATAAAATTGCAAAGGAGATTTTGGCCGATAGAGTGGTGTGCTATAAGAACCAAAGACCATAAACAAAGTACTTAGTTATACGGTGAGGATTACTCTAGTCCAAGACAAGTTAAGAGCCGTATGAGAGGTTATGACATCTCGAGGACATAGTGCAAGAGTTCGAAAAATTGAGGGCAATGTCTAACTCAAATGGAGAGAATATCTTGAACAAAAAATGTGGCCAAGAGAAGTCGAGAGAAAAGGCCAAATTGAGGAGGCCACTAGAACCTTTTAGAACTCTCTAGATGGATCTAGAATCTTTGACTAAGTCTATGTATATCTAATAGTATTAACTTAAGGTGTCTTTGTTTGGAAGTCTTACCAAGATTTTCACGTTTTACTAAATTTTTTTTAAAAAAAATATTACATCAAATATTTATTTTTTATTTTTTATATTATACAAAAAAAAAATCAATTTTACATACAGAATATTACATTAATCATATAACTATACCAATTCAAATATTTTACTATTTAAATTTTAACTCAAAATTCAAACCCCCAAACAAATGTACATAATCTGTAATAGTTTGCCTAAGGCCTAACTCATCTATTAAGGGATGTTCCATTTCAAACTGTTACTAAAGAAGTTTACTTTGATTTTCATTGCTTACAATCTTTATGATTTATTACGGATTGTTTCATGCTGCCATTTCCAGGTGATGGCCCAGGAATTGGGACCTGACAAAATTCGAGTTAACTCCATAGCACCAGGGCTTTTCAAATCTGAGATAACCAAAGGTTTACTAGAGAAAGAGTGGCTTAAAAATGTGGCGCGCAGAACAGTCCCGCTGAGAGATTTTGGGACAACAGATCCTGCATTGACATCCCTCGTTAGGTACTTGATTCACGACTCTTCCGAGTATGTCACCGGCAACATCTTTATTGCCGACTCCGGAAGCACCTTGACAGGTACCCCTATATATTCATCTCTTTAGATTTTCAAGAATGGATTGGTTTCTGGTGAAACATATTGCTAAGTATCAAACTTATATCGTATCTTGAATAATACATACTTGAATAAGATTATTTATAGCTCATGTCTTGTCTTTCTTATGGTTCATTTGAAGATTTGTTGGGTATGATGGTTTAAAGAGTATTTTAGGATTACATGCATTTTTAGAGTTGCAGTGGAAATGGTTTGAACATATGGAAATTGTTGGTGTTTAGGGAAGATAAACATCCGAAACAGTTGGAATTTGAGGTGGGCAAAATATTCGAACCGAACTGTTGAACTGCTTAATTGAACTAAATCAAATCAAATTTTAAGTTAATTGAGAAAATAGATTTAAATACAAATACTATTTGTTAGATGTTTTTTTTTCAGTTTGGTTCAATTTAATTTTTTTATTTTTTCATTCAACGAAATTTATTTTTTCATTTAAAGGAATTTATTTAAACTATTATACTTAAAATTATATATAAATAGTTTTATTATATAACTTAAATATTATTATTGTTTATATTACTATATTTACATAACTGAATATAAATATAATTGTAGTTAGGTTCAATTTGTTTGAAATATATGTGAATATTTTCTGCTAATTTGAATAATTGAATTCTTAAAATATATTTATGGAGAAGATTTGAATCCAGGTCAGCAAAATATTATTCTTCTCCAAATTCATATTATTTTATTGTCATTTCACATTAAATTTGTTAAAGTAATAATAATAAATATACACATAATAAAATTATGTTAAAATTTTAATAAAATAAAATAAATTAAAATATTGAAAAAATAATATAATAAAAATTAAAAATATTAATATATAAAAATATTATTATTCTATAATTTTTATACATCATTAATTATATAAATTAATTATATATAATATATAATTGTGATAAAAATGAATACAAAAAAATAAAGATAAAAATAATGAATAATTACATAATATTACAAATAATGAAATGAGGTATGTTAAAAAAAAATTATTTTAACATTCAACAATTTTTTTTTTACATATTTTTTATTAATATTAAAACATATATAATATATATATTACATATATTTACATAATATATAACACTCTATCCGTTCTAAATCAAAGTGGCCATTTGAGATTTTGTATTAAATTAAGAAATAATAGTAGTATTTTATTTATTAGTAAGAGTTTTTGATATTTTTGTCCTTTAAATTTATGTATAAAATAGTTGTATATATAATGGTATATTTGTAATTTAAGTAAAAATTAATGAGTATTTTTATGAATATTTTTTTTTATAAAATAAAAAATAAATATTTTAAAGTGAATGAAATATACAAAAATGGTAAAAAAAATAATATTTTGAATTGAGACAAACAAAATATATATTTTCCAGTAACAAAAAATAATAATTATTAAATATAGAATTTTTTTATATTATATAAAGTGAGCACAATTTGATGTAAAAATAATAATTTTATATAATGAATTTGTTCAATTTTACTGTAACCTAATAATTTTTTTTTTTTAAATTTTAATGGCTCTATCATTGATTAAGATTATATATTCTTTCTAACAAAATACTAATATTATTAAATTAAAAATTTGAATAAAGACAAAAATATACAATCAGACATACTGAATATTTTATTTATATAATTAATAGTAAATATAATATTTAAAAATTATATAAAATAAAGAGTAAAATTATTTCATTAGTCTCCACTCAATATATTTTATTATTATTATTATTAGTATTATTATTATAATAGATTAAGAATAATAATATTTTGTTTATTAATAAAAAAATTATAATTTACTTTTTATATTTTTCCCGTTAAAAGTACAAAAATGAATATTTTTGTAAGTATTTTGATATTTATATGAATTATTTTTATTATAATAAGCAAGAGATACTCCATTAGTCTCAATTGAGAGTATTACTACATCATTTATTTGTCTCACTCAAAATTATTTATTTTTTATTACAATAAAAATAATTGTTAATAACAAAATATTATTTAATTTTTACATAAATTAAAAATATATCATGACATATACAATTAATTTATACATAAAGTACAAATAATAAAAATATTAAAATTATTTTACATATTTTACTAACTAATAAAATGTTACTATAATTTTTTAATATTTTATAAACTACAAATAACCTATTTGGATTGACACGTGAAAATATTTTTCAATGAGAAATAAAATTTATAAAAGAGTAAAGTAAGAATGGAGTGTATATAAAGATACTACTCCCTCTGACATAATTTGTCTATTCTTTTTATTTGTGTTCCACATAATTTTTTTTTTTTAAAAAAAAATATAATTATACACTTTAATCACATTTATAAAATTCATAATTTATATTTTTTATTTGTGTTCCACATAATATTTTTTTTTAAAAAAAAAAATATAATTATACACTTTAATCACATTTATAAAATTCATAATTTATATTTTTTATTTGTGTGTGTTCCACATAATGTTTTTTTTAAAAAAAATATAATTATACACTTTAATCACATTTATAAAATTCATAATTTATATTTTTTATTTGTGTGTGTTCCACATAATGTTTTTTTTTTTAAAAAAAATATAATTATACAATTTAATCACATTTATAAAATTCATAATTTATATTTTTTATTTTAAGTAAACTATTTAGTCATTTTAATGTTAATATATAATTATTTTTATTAAATTGTACTTCTTACGTCCTATATATTTTGGGCGTGTTACTGAAGATACGAGAATTTAGGTAAAATATAATTAGTAAGTAATTAAAAAGTATATTAGTAGAAATAATTATTATTTAATAAAAATAATTATAGATTAAAATTAAAATGAATAAATAGTTTAATTAAGATTAAAAAATTATAAAATTTAAAATTTAAAATGTGATTAAAGTGGATAATCATATTTCCAAAAAAGGAAAGGACAAATTAGGTGGAACGGACGAAAATAGAAAATAGGGACAAATTATGTAGGAACGGAGGAAATAATTATTTTTACTAATACACTTTTAATTACTTACTAATTACACAATACTTAAGATTTCGTGCCCCTAAACAAATTAGTTAGGACGAATGGAGTAAGATATTATAAGCATTTATACTTCATAATTGTGACACTCCCGCCCACAAGCCCGGCAAAGCTGGACGTGTCGGGAATGTAGGCTGAGCTCACAGGTCAACATGAGTTCTTTTATAAAGGAATGTGCGCATTGATGACATGATTAGTCTATTCAATCAACTTTATCTCTTCAATCTCAGATGACCTAGCATCGGCTCATCCATAGACAGAATTTGGCTTAGCACCGGCCTAAACTCCGAGGTATTTCATCATCCTTGCTTTAGAATAAACGTCCATGTTGCACCCCAATGATTCGTCAATTGCTAAGCCATCAACAGTCCGGTCAACGATTGTGGATTGTAGAAGATCGGCTTTGATACCAACTGTAACACCCCGGCTCGCAAGTCACGCAAGACCGGACGTATCGGGACTGTAAACTGGAGTTTTTTCAGTAAAATTTTCGAAAAGAAATATACACATTGTTGACATGAATAATCTATTCAATCCACTTAATCTCTATTCACCGGCCTGACACCAGCTCATCCACGAGAATGACCTAATAAATTAAAGTCCGGGATATTACAATAATATATTATATTTTTAGTAAATAATCTTTTTAGAATATATATTCATTGAATATAAAAAGATTATTTAATATTTATTTTATATTATTAGTCTATTAAATACTACTATTAACAAAATAAAAATGTTGTACTCGCTCAGATCCAATTCATTGCCCCAATCATTTCTTCATAGGTTGTTTTCATCCCAGTCAAAGGTGTGTTCCTTTCGAAAAAATATATATATATATATATATACAAAATTAATATTATATATATATATATTATTTTTATATTATTTACACATTTTATTATATTTTATATAAAAAAAAATATTTTTTTTTTTCAAATCATTTTATCAAACAAATACACCCATTTTACCTCACAATTAAATTAATATTGTCTTACTAATCATATTCATATTATGTGTTTTGTTTGTTAGTTGTCTCATATTTTATATTACTTTTATTTTTTAAAAAATAATTATATATTTTAATTTTATTTCAACTTTTTTCAAATTTATAATATATTTTTAATTATAATTATATTAATTAATTATTTTAAAATTTTGTCTATACAGTAATAATATAGGGAAAAGGAATATAAAATTAAATGCAATACATATACATATACAACATGCAGATACGACAAATCAATTCAACATTAATACTATATAAAAACAAACCAGCACATCTAATAAAATAAATCAGCACAATTTAAAAAATATAAATAAGTCGGTCATTTTTATTATATATAAATTTAAGAAAATAACTAACAACTAAACACAATCCGTAAATGACAAAATAATAATAATAAACATATAAATACATTTAGCAAAAAATTAAAACAGCACAAATAATAAATCAATATAATTTAGCAGACTATACAAAACAAGTATGCATTTTAATTACTCCCTTTGTCGTCAAATCGCATTGCCATATTTTTTAGCATACGTATTAATATGAATATGTATTTTTTTTAATTTTTTTTAAAAAATATAATTTTTCGTTAAAAAATAAGATAATACTCCCTCCGTTCTAGATACCGTGTCTGCTACATTGTAGACACGATATTTTAGGAGGGGTGTAATTAATAGATAATTAAGAATGTATTAGTGAAAATAATTATCTTATAATATAAATAATTATAAACTAAGATTAAGATAACTAATTAGTTTAATTAAAAATTTTAAAAAAAAATAAAATTAAAAAATTTAAAATGAGATTAAAGTGTGTAATCATTTTCCAAAAAAAGAAAGTGACATGGTATGTGGGACGGACAGAAACGGCAACGTGGATATGGTATTTTGGAAAGAGAGAGTATTTTTTATGTCAATCTTTTTAAAATAAGAATAAAATCAGCATATTCAAAAGAAATAATTGGACAATCTATTATACATAAAATATTTGTTTGCCCAAACTTATCTATGTATATTTTTCATCTTCTCACAAAATTAATATTCAA